GTGAATACGGTGGCTGTTCGATGGTATTTATTGAATGTTTGGCCTTAAAATCGTTGATAATGTTGGAACAAATTGAGGTGAATCGGAACAAGCCGAGCGTTGACACGTCGCATACACAAATTTTCCACCAAAATCAAACGAGCCATCTCACGACCGATGCCTAGCTCTCGTGCTATCTCTCTAACACTCACATGAGGATTTTGGAACACGATTTCCTTTGCCTTTTCAATGTTTTCGTCGGTGGTAGAGGTCGAAGGTCGTCCAGAACGCGGCATGTCTTCGACGGTCGTACGACCGTCCTGAAAGGCTTTGTACCACTCATAAACTTGAGTTTTCGATAAAACTGATTCCCCATAAGCCTTTTGTAGCATTCGCAACGATTCTGCACACGAAATTTCGTTCGAAACACAAAATTTGATGCAAACTCTTTGTTCAATATTTTTTTCCATTGTTTTTTTCGCAACGCACTACTGAGGTGAACTGGTTTCAACAGCTGCCGTAAACGAACTGTCTGACAGATCGCGCTCATTTTTGGCATAGTAATTGTGGTTAGTGCTGCCAAACTACATAAACTTAAAATATCGAAAAATATACAGCGCGCGAATTTTAAATGAGAATTTCCGAAAACTTTTCGGTCACAATGTATAGTTAGTAATTCTAATTCTACATCTATTTTAGAAATCTTATTTTTAATAAAAAAAAATTAAGTTTTGATTGTTGTCATTGGTGTTATCTTCGGCTTTATATTAGTAATATAATTTACGTATTCAATCAAAGATATATTTAGTACTTATTTAATATATTAAATAGTCCATTTTGGGTTGCTTAAGTACTGAAATTCTTTTTCAAATTTAATATGAATTTAATGTTATATTGACATAGATTTCATCTGTGTTCCAAATGAAGTCGCCTTGGTCGAAGTATTTCCACTATTTAAAGCAAATAACTGCCTAAGCTGCCCATACAAAGCAAAAGAATAAACAATAATACATAAATAAAAGTGGTCGAAATAAAATGAAACTCATAACATCCTGCTGAAATGTCCTGTTTTCAGTACGCGTCACACTCTATATTCGCAAGAATTACATCACCGGATGTTATCTATAATAAAACCAAATGTTTAACATTACGTAGAACACCAACAAAAATAAAACACGATACAATTTACAGCATAAATTGTGCAAATACCGACTCGTATCACTTAAATCTAAAGTGGTGGTGAAACGTGTCGCTCCGAACTGCCACAACTGCCTTGACCTACTTTTTTAAAGGAAGCAAGAATTTTCCAATTTATTGGATTTGTATCATACGGGCGGGTACTATATGCAAACCAACATGCCACCGTAAGGATAACTCAAAAAATTATTTTAATTTTGTACATTTATTTTTTTAATGTCTATAAAATTGAGTTTAATGAGTTCCCAAATGTAAAAATAAAAAGTCTGAAATTAAAATTATAACGAAATGTGTTCGTGTATATAAAGGAGTTTTTATTAATATAACAATATACTTTAAATAAATATCTCATTTTTATTCTCCAATGTTGAACAATTAATACTTTAAAGATAATTACATTTACTTACAATTAACAATTATACAATCACTCTTCATAACCAATAATTCATATTAAATGCGCGTTGTGCATGAGGAAATCACTGTGCTGCACAATGTGCTCATTAAAGTCATTCCCAGCGGTGAAAAGAGCAATAAAACAGTTGATGCTGATAAAGTTGCGCCACCACCGGTTAAAAGTTCACTCCTTTCCATGCACAGCACATTTTTCAAACCATTCAACTCCACTGCAAATGTTGTATTTGTATCTGGAGTAACTGGTGTATCTGCCGTGTTAGTAGTCGGTGACTCTGTGTTTTGAAAAGAATTCATAAGCTTACGCAGACGTTGTGATGGTGACATTGTTGCTTCATTATTTTCCCTATAGTATATACTGGTTATGTATGCTACGTATGGCACATATTCCAATGGACGATCCATTAATTTGAAACCATAGACGAACATTTGCACGAATAACGAAGTCGATTTGTGATCTATTATAAGTGCTTTGATTGAGTTGGGAGTGTAATGACTGTATTCAGCGACTACAGTATCTTCTACTGCATCCGACTCGGTAATTATGTGCTATAATTGAAGAAGTAAACTAAGATAAATATAGTCTTAAATATAGTTGGTTATCTCCACTCACTTCATAAACAACAAATTTTATGTAAGTAATGAAATCGCTATCAATGTAATAGAAGACAACTGAATGCATTGTTGGTATCATTGTGGTATTCTTTGAGGTTTGAAAAGTTTCATAAAGCAAATAATCACCTAAAAAGTATTTAATAAAATTTAATTAAATTTTATTCAAGTAATTGTTTTTAACACAACCACAATTATACACAACTATACACATACCTTGTTGACGTTTACCAAGTTCTAGCACTTTATCCGTACTATTAAAATCAGTTGGAAATTCAGCTTCATCTTCATTATGCGCATTAATATCCTCAAAATTTTCGGCCAGTGCATCATCATTACCTTCATCATCATCATCGTCATTTTCATTCCATTCAAGTCCTTTTTTAGCTAAGCTACGCTCATTAACTTTAGCTGCGTGGTTGGCATTCACATAATCATTTTCACCATCGATATCAATGTCATCATCTTCATATTGAGTATCTTCTTCAATATTTGGCTCAAGCACACCATCAAATTCTTGGTTTTTATTTAGTATATAAGCTGGATTTACATTTAACATCGTTTCATTAAAACCGTATATCGTAATTAGTACTTCAAACTGCCGTGGTATGTGTGCTGTGGCTTTCGTGGCATTGACTGCCGTCACGGTACCATTGACGAGGTCATTATGATAACTGAAGTTTACTTCAGCCAGGACATTCTAAACGAAATTAAAGTATAAGCACATAAACTCAATTTCACTTATCGAATTATCATAATAAAGCCAAAAATTAAATTTGCTCTTAATTTACATGTTACTTACATACCTACTTACATTCGTACTTGTTTGCACTTGAAAGTGTGCATAAAATATTCTCAAATTATTTGAAGCATTAAAATTTAATTACAATTCATTAAACAAATTAATTCGTTTCATACTTGAAGATTCTGCAAAATATTTAAATAATGAAATTTGAAATTTCAATTTAGTTTTGGAATGTCGACACATATCGGAGTTGGGGACATGAGATTAATTTGGTAAAATAAGATACAATTTGATATTCAGAAAGTCGTTTGAGTAAACAATAATAATAAACAATTTAATTTTTGTAAATATGAACAATCACTGCACTTTGTTGTATTTATGGTATAAACTGATTTAGAAACTGATTAAAGAGCTCATAAAAAAAACTTATAAGCTCCTGTTATACAGCACTGTGTTCTTGTACCACAAAACCTTCCTCTGTCACATATTCCTGTTGTGCAATGGCTCTATTTTATATAAAAGAGGCAATTTTGTATCAAAACTTTGTTGTATAAAAAGGTTTGGATAACAGAGTTGTGTTGTGCAACAGAGCCACATTGTGCAATAGACTCTTATTGTACGACAGACCCATCTCATGCAATACATCCAGAGTCAAGTTGTACAACAAAGCTGTGTGGTAGAATAGAACAATGTAATAAAACAGAGAAGTCAAGATCCATCCGTCAACAATATAAAATTTTTATTAAATTATATATAATACACATAAACCTTTTTCACACAAACTGTCCATCTAACTACTCTACTTACTTCACAATTTACTCTACTTTTAGTTATATTCGAAAAAATAGCGGTATTTATTTAAGCATATAAACTTAACAAATAATAAATAATTTTATGCGTTTACGTACACGGTTATATGAACGCATTTAATGAAATATTTTTGTAAATTTATCAATCTGCTGTATAATAGCACTATTTATATCAGCAATAATTATGACAGCACAAAATGCAATGCAATTTATACGATATAAATTTATTCAGTAAAATTTTCGTGTAAATTTATCAAGTTTTGTATGTAGCTAACTTTAATACAAAATTTTGTCAAAAAGATTAATCTATACGTGTATATAGTTTATAAGGAATTTATCAGTTTATATAAGCACCTCTATTATATTTTGTATTTAATTATAATAAATAAATAAATGAGTTATTTTTAATATATCCAGTTTTTTTACTCTGTTATCTGTTAATATGGTTTGTTTTTATTTTCTTCGTTGGCTGTATATTAACTGCGAAATTTTTTCATAACCCCTCTCTACACCTTGACTGGATTATTGTTTATCACTTCCTCAGACTAAGCAATAATTAACCTCAGATCTGCATACCTTCCTAAGGAGCCATTCTGAGATTCGATAATGCGTTGTTGTTAAGCCTGTCAGTTTTCGTAAATAATTTCAGGGTTTTATAATAAATAAATAAGTTATTTTAAAGCTTTAATGTCATTTAAAAATTTCTTGTTTATTAAAAACACAGGTAAACACCATCAATAAATTCAATGCCATATAAGTACGAATGGATTTGTTTGAACAACCCGTAAATTCGTCAGATATTGTTTCTTACGACTTATGCTTCTTCTTACATTATTTCATATGAAACTAATATTTTTTAAAATACTTTTTTTAGTTTTGTTCAATATCTTTTTGAACAAAAAATATTTGTTTTCTTTTAATATCTTTCCAACATATCAGGGCTTAGAAACCTACTCTAAACTCAGAAGGGGGACACAATGGACCCGAAAGGAAGCAGTGCCATATTCCCTAACAATAATAATAATAATATCTTTTCAATATTTTTATAAATTTTTAAGCAAACTAATTTTTTTTTATTAAACCCAAATGCCAAAATTTTTCCAAAGGTCACTGTGTCTCAAATGGGTAATTTGTGTTTTTCGTAGTAAATTTTTTTTTAATTTTTCTTTAAATTATGATCGAATACGAATATTCAAAACACAAGATAAATTTTTGGTTATTAATACTTTTTGCATGTTCAGTTTTCATATATAATATATTTTTTCATATTCAAAACACTGCTCTTCAGCTGATCTAAAATTAAGAAGTCAAAACAAAAATTACAAAAAACAACAAACGAATTTAAAAACACTTTTCCGCAGAAAATATTGTCGTTGAAAATTCGGGCAGATAAAAATAAACAGCGGTGTTGACCATTAATCTATGTATTAGCCAAAAACCGTACATACTCCCATAACATATGCACGAGTACAATTAATATTGTTAACAAACAGTTAATGGATTATTTTGAAATGAATATTTGATTAATATGAAACAGACAAGATACTCTTATCTCTGGCAACGGATTACACAAATAGAGGCACTTATAGTTTTTAATCGATTTTTTAAACAACTCAAACTCACTTCATCCGATTGTATCTGAATATAAGTGATAGGTTCAACTATAGCGTAGCA